CAACATAACTCAAGGCACATGGAGTTTTTAAGCTTACGAATTCTTCTGAGAAATAAAATTTTGTCATCATAATCTCTTAAACAAGAAGTGGGAAATATTTTGTTTGCAAAGAATCTTCTTTTGTTTTTGATGCAAAGGAAAATCTAACAATAATTTTTTTTTCATTTTTCTTTTAGAAATTAAGAACATTTACATTTTCTGTCACTTTAACCTAATAGGGTGGGATTTATGCCAATATTGGGCATCACCAAGGACCATAATTTCTGTACCTGCTATCATGGAAGGCTTACTGAGTAGGATGATAGAAAAGGGAAGGCATGGTTTCAGAGTTAGACTACTGTGGCGGTTTCTAATATTACGGCAAGTTACTTAGTCTTCCAGAGCTTTCATTTTCACCTGTAAAATCAGCTATGTCAAAGTCATATGGTATATGTGGGTAAAGTTTCAGTTTCTGGTATACAATAGATAAATCCATAAAAGAAAACCAGTTAATGTAGTGATAAACTCTTAGGTAAATATAAAAATTTTTAAACCAAACTTACTTTTGCTGTTTATTTCATCATCCTGCTTTTTGGTTAAAACTCTAGAAATGGCAAGATTTTTCTGTCTTTAAAGTTCTTATCTTTGTACTCTAAGGAGACTTTCACACTACCGTCTTTCATATGTTTTGATTTAAGATAACAATATTTATATTCAGAATTGTGAAGAATAGTCTTTAAATGAAAACATAATTCTATGTGTCTGTCATATTAAATAAATAGGACCTCAAAAAATGTCACTCTCCCTAAAGTCAGGAAAAACTGTGAGTGCTCATGTTTGGTAGGCAATTTTCTTGCAATGAAATACCCTATGGTTGAATTACAGGAAAGTCTGAATGGAGAAAAGCATTAATATTAACTGAAGGAGCCCCAACTGCATTTTACTCATGAGATTTAAGCTTGAGCTGATTAAAGAGCACTTAATAAATTCACTTGGGCAAAGTTATGGCACTTGGGGGAGACTTGAAATAGGACTATAATTGTGAAAAGTTCATGGGATGCCAATTCATACTAGCGACAATAATAAAAGTGGCCAGAAGTAACAGGTTTGGGATCGTGGTTCAGATAAATTTTCCAAGGTAAAACAGCACTAAAAAGGTGATATACACAAAGACAGAATTTTCTTTCATGATTCACAGCAGCAGAAGCTTTCAAGAGACAAAGAACCTAGCAACTGAATGGATAATAGTGTGTTTGCTACTGGAAAGCAGAGGAAATAAGGGGTTGAAGATGGGAGGCTTGGAATAAAGTAGAAAGGACTGAAATGCTATCTGCTTTAATATTCACTAAGAAAAATTAAAAATTTAGACTGTGTGTGGAGACCTTAGGACTACAGAGAAAGGGATTTTTCTTTCCACTTCACTTGTTGCATTATGTAGAGCAGAACAGCCTTCTGCTTAAATGGTTTGCTGCACATTCATCTATTTTGGGGAAGAATATGAACATTCTAAGCTGGAAAAATTCATCCTGTCTCAATGGCGTGTCTGATGTAATATTTATAACCCATTACATTAAAAGAAACTTCTGTATCCTTTATCCACAATTTGCAGGTGTTAGGCATCCTTAAACCAAAGGTCACTTGACTCTTGTTAGAGCAGTTCTCTATATTTATGAATCACCTCGAAATCTGTTAAAAAGGAAGATTCTTATTTCCCAACCTCCAGGAATTTTGATTCAGTAACTCCAAGGTAGGGCATAGTTAAGAAATACCCAACCTGAAGTGACTCCAAAACCAGATGGTCCACAGACTGAAGCCATACCCTAGCGAATAGCAGAGTCTTTGCTCATCCATTTTTTAAAGAGAAAAATTAGAAGTTCATTTGGATCCTAATTGTTCAACTTTTATTTTACCCCATAATTCTTCAACTAAACAATAAATTAAAAATAAGAATCAATAATGGATGTTAAAATCAATGGATAAAAGTTTGATAAGGAACAGTTTATTTTCCTAATCTCAAATCAGATCTGTAGGAAATATAATAATTAACAATTTATAAGTAAGAAATAATTTTAATTGACTTTACAGTGAAGAATCTGGCAGACACCATTTTTAAACTTCTAAAATTTAACATTAACATTAATGAGACAAATATCATATTAAGTAGCGCCTCAAGTCTGATATTTCTGCCAAAATTGCATAATGTGAATTGAATCATGAGGAAATACTTAACAAATATGTAATAAAATTAACCGGACTCCACACTTCAAAAATATTAAGTCACGAAAGACAAGGAAAGATTGATAAATTGTTCTAGACTGAAGAGACTGAAGGAGGCTAAGAAGACTTGACAACTAAATCCTGTGCATGATCCCAGATTGAACGTTGTACCAGAAAGGAAAGAGACAAAAGAAGAGGTTTTGTTTGATTGATTGATTTTTTTATTTGCTTTGTTCAATCAATGACATCATTAGGATAGTAGAAAAAATGTGAATGGAGTCTTAGGGTAAGGTGGTTGTATTCTACCAATGTTAATTTTCTGATTTTTATGGATATACTATGGTAACGTAGGAGAGTATCTTTAAAAAAATTAGACACTGAGCAATTTATAGATAATGAGACATCATATCAAAAAACATTTTCAAATGGTACAAAAATATAGAAAAAGCTAGACAGACAGACTGATAGAGACACAGAGAGAATGTTAAGGAAATGTGGCTAAATATTAACAACAGTGGAATCTGAGTAGAGGGTACGTAGGTGTTATACTGTTGTACAACTTTTCCGTGACTTTGAAATTACTTCAAAATAAAAAGTAGAGAGAGAATGAGAGAGAGAGAAAGCAATTCCAAATTCATCTTTATAAAACAGCAACATGAATCCCTGGTGGAAGTAAGGCACCAGGTTTTCTATTTATTCAACCTTATGAAACATAAAAGTGATACATCTAATAAATACATGTATAAAGTCATAAACATTGAAACTCAAAGATATTATCTGGCAAATACTAACCAAAACAAACAAGCGTAGGTATGTTAATGACAAAGAAAGCGTTAAATAAAAAGCATTGTAAGAAATAAGGGGAGTTATAATGGAATGATTGATTCATCAGTTCTAAATATATATATGTACCTAATTCCATAGCATAAAAATATAAGACATAAAGCAAAAACTGCGTAACTCCAGGTAGAAACAGATAAGTTCACACTGAAAGAGATTTTAACATATCACTCTGAAACCAATAGGTCAAGCAAACAGGAGTCAGTAAGTACATGGAAATGTATACAACACTGGCAAGCTTGATCTATGAAGCTACATGGAATACTGCACTCCATGCCTGTAGAATACGCATCATTGTGAAGCACATATGGAACATTTATAAAAATTTCCTTAATATTACACCATACATTTAACAAGTTTCATTACATTTTAAAGGATTGGTATCATCCAGACCACATTCTCTGACCAAATTGCAACTAAACAAAAAATCAATAACTATATGATAACTAGATAAATTATATATACTTGGAATCCCCTTTATGTGAGAATTCCAGATCTAGTTTATGACCGTCCCCATTAATCTCTATTGAGCCAGAACTGAAGGCAGAATGAAGTGGCTATTCATTATTATGCCACTAGTTCTGTTGGTTTCTTAGAGTAAACAGTTTTTCTTGATACCCGTATCACTATACAAAATGGGGTGAAGAGGGACAAACCAAGGGGAATATGTGTTTTTAAAAAATGTGACTATAATATGTTCATTATGCAAAGAAGGTATCAGAAGAATATGACTAATGCATCATTATGAGATGACCCAAGATAAGAACTATTATCAATAAACAGAAATGATGAGTGATGAAAAATAAATCAACTTTAAAGGACTGAAATTTCTAAGCATTTTAAAGTGAAATTTAAAAGCATTTTAAAGGATAAAATAAGCATGCTATCATGCAATGCCATTACGTATTAAGTGAATGTTTCCTGGGACTTCAAAACCTTTTGCAGTTGGTAAGCTTATTTCTATAAACTGTCTACAGAATGCATTAGAAATTATGTGCATCAACCAGAAACAATCAATTGCAAAAATATATCTAGCCAGAAATGCTGTAGTTCAATGTATTGTAGACTTAGCTAAGAACTTACAGGACACAATGCGTGAAAAAGTTAAATCTTTTGTGGCATATTCTATGGCAGCTGATGAAAGCACAGATATAAATAATACCACCCAATTAGCTATATTTATTCATGATGTCGAAGAGAATTTTGATGTGACCGAAGGACTTTTGGGCAGGATGCCCATGCTAGAAATAACATCAGGAAATGACTTGCTTTTGTGTGTTAGGAAAATGTCCATGTTGGTCTACTCAAAATTAGTAGTCAAGACTACAGCCAGTGATTCTGTAATGGTCAGTGATATACAAGTTTAATTCAAGGTAACAACATGTTCCTAGGTTATAGAACATAAGCCTGACCAATGCATCACTCACCAGGGAGATCTTTAAAGTTAAAAATGAAACTCATCGTAAAGGTACCCATTACCATATGGACTGTCTGAATCACAGGCAACACGGTGATTGGCTTGATGAATTAGAGCCTGCACTACTTGAAAGCAGCTGGCTTAGTGGTGACATGAGACTAAAGAGAACTTTTTAACTATTCAAAGAAACTTGCTTGTGTTACCCAAGGAAAACTTCCAGCCTCTGTTCCCCAGTCAAAACTGGATCAGACTTGATCTTCTTGGTTGATATTATGCCGGATCTAAATCCTAAATATTTTTTTGAATCAGTGTTCAAATATACTTTCCACAAAATGTATGACTCTATTCACTTATTTGCAGAAAAATTGTGGCTTTGGGAAGATCTTTGCTAAGGTATAATAATTATAACTAACCCACCTTTCTGCCCCAAAATTGGTTTTCAGAAATGAAAGTAGAGCCTCAACTACATTCTCAAAATTGTACAGTTAAGAACTGACTTTCAAAGTATATTACCTGACTCTACATTTTATAAAAATTACCTGATATTTTGCAGTTCGCTTTCCTCTGTGAATGAAGAAGCAAGTGAGAGATACTGAGCTGGAGTACAACAAAACTGAAAAACAAATATGATGATATTAAAAAATCAGAAGTCTACAAGTACATCAAATAAAGTTGTGCTAAATGCAAAAACAACCAAGCCAAAATACTATCCATATTCAGAATTCCCTATTTTAGTTGTTTTTAAATTATGAAAATGAATAAAACTGAACATTGCCCCATTTAAAAATATCACAGTTGAATGTTTTTTGTATATTGAAATTCAAAATGCAAGACATACAGTCATATTTTTGTCCCATAAAACAACACTGTAAGGGTGGTTCCAAGTCAACAAAATAAAAATTATAAAAGATAATACATGAGTATGATGTTCTATTTGCAATTTTTATTTTGGAATTTAAGAAAAATTATCTCAATTTTATATGTCTATGTTACGTGTTTTCATTTTGCATCACTAATGTTACCTATATGACTCTTTTAATCATACCAGTAGTCTCAGTCACTTTTTTTACCTCCTCATCTACATTTTCAACTATCTATTAGACACCAATATTTTTAGATGTCTATGGCATATTAAACTCAACATCTCTAAAACTGAACTTAGAAGACTTGCCTCAGTAATTCAAGCTCCTTAGATAGCACCTTTAACCAGATATTACATTCAAACTGATTCCAAATCTGCATTTCACCTAGAATATACTTCCTTCTCTATCACTCAGTGCAGCCAGCTTTCTTGATAATGGCTTGCACATCTATGTTCTCCTCTCTGGTCACATTGCCTTTGTTTAGTTATCAAACATTCTCAGATTAGGTTTTGCAATGCCTTCTTTGAAAGACTTCCTGCCTTTAAATTCTCCAATCTCATTCCATCCTGTACACTATTCCACAGTAAATTGTCTTCAGTGTACTGATGATCAGGTCCCTACTCTGCTCACATGCTAATATTGATCTTGCACTGTTTTTGACCACCTATAGTATAAAGGTTGTGCTTCATCCTCTACCAGAGTCACTGTGGTCAGCTCCCACCGAATTCTCATGATGCTGATGCCCACAGCGCCTCACCTTGCATATTTTTAAGTAACTAGCTGATCATATGATGCATTGCAATGATATTGTACCTTTTTCTCAAATTCTTATCTTAGCTCATGACTGGAAGGCTCTTGGGCTCCATTTCTGTGTGTCGAAATATTTGCTTCCTCTGAGATTCATCTCAAAATGCCTCGTTTATGAAGTCTACATTGACCCACCCAACTGAAATAGCTATCTATCACTTAGGTAATCCTATTATAACTTATCCATCAATTTAGCAATTACTACTCACTGTGTTATAATAACTTGTATCAATTTCCTCTTATGCCTACCAGACCAAAAATTTCTTAAAAACAAAATTTGTTTCTGACTTAATTTTGAGTCTCAGTGATTCTCTCTTCAAAATTTGTCAGTGAATTTGCTGAATTGAGGTTGGATGTTAAAGTAGGAGGAAATGGACCTTTAAATGATCAACAGAGGCAGTTTTTGGTCAATAAACTGAAACAATTTCCAAAATTCTACTGGTATTTTCAGTATGTGAATACAGAGGACATTTGCCATTATTTGGCTACTCTGCATCTTCCCCCTTCCTACCAGCACTTTGATTGTTCAGAGGAATCACCGAGCCTCCCATTATATACAGTCTTCATAGTTGGGTAATTCAAGATTTTGGCTTCTCTGCTCCCCCTAACAGTATCTGAGCAAGAGCAAATGGCCTAATGTTAGCCTATTGGATGCTCACTCCTGGTGCTTAAATCTTGATTCAGTGATGAAAGAATGGAGAAGACTGGAAGTTATTCATTATGTGGTTGTAGCAGAAGCAATGAAACAATGGTGATAATACTGGCATCCTGGCAAGAGTGCTCAGCCCCAAAGCCATTGCTACGCCCCCAATACCTTTCCTGGTTCTCCAGATTCTCCTAAGTTCATGCCTCCTTTTTCAAGTACCCAGGGCCTCTGTAAACCTGCCAATATCCTTCCAACAAATTTATTTGTTCTTATTACCTAGGGATGGTGTTTATAGCTTACAACTAAGAATCTTTCCTAATACACCATGTATATTTATTTTCTGCAGATAAATGTGTAGCTACTATTCTGACTCTTACAAGAATATATGCTGCCTTCCAAATAATAACTATTATGTTAAAGTTTCCAGGCTGTAGTTTGCAAAGCGAGGAACCAATGATGTCATGATTCCATGCACATTACAGCTATTCAGTAATTCTTTTTTATCATATTCTGAGTACTCATTAAAGAAGCTTTATAGAAAGTTGTCAGTAACAGCCAAGAAAATGAAGATGATTTCAAATAAAATGTCTCCCTTTCTTAATTATTGTATAGACATAATTCTTTCCTTACAAAGTAAGTACAGACTACTGCTAATTCTATCTGGTGACCTGGAGCAGTAAAGACATGTAAGAGCACTATCTTTCCTTGATAGTTCCCTCTTCTTTCTGGCAATGGCAACAAGGAGGAAGTGAAAGCAGACCATGTACGATTTTTAGGGCAGTGAAACTACTTTGATATTATAAAGGCGCATATGCCATTATATATTTGTCCAAACGCACAGAATGTACAACACCAAGAGTGGACCCTAATATAAACTGTGGACTTTGGGTGATAACAATGTGTCAATGTAGGTTCATCAGTTGTAATAAATGTACCACTCTGGTAGGGGATGTTGACAATAGGAGAGGCTGTGCATGTTGGAGGGCAGGAGAAATATGGAAGGGAAATCTCTGTATCTTCTGTTCAGTTATGCTGTAAACAACTGCTCTAAAACATAAACCTTATTAAAAAATAAAAAAGAAGTGAAGCAAGTACCCTCTGAGACAGAACTCCTTGAGCTTCCCTTTGAAATTCTTACTTCTTTCTCCTCCTTCTCACACACCTTGTCAAGCTGTAATATTACCTCCTGAATGGAAGTTGAAAACTGCTAGGATATTAAGGTGAATCTGCAAGATCCAGGTAAGCTTAAAATTTCACTATTTTTACCTATTTTTATTTCAGATTCAGGAATAGTATAATATTTGACTCATTTGGAGATTTTTCATACCTCTTTTGGCAGGAAAAAAATTAATTTAAAAAAGATTTTATGAACTCAACCTCACAGTTGTAAAACATGTTTGACAGACTCTTAATTTGGTTTCTTATAAATTCCTTTTAAATATTGTTTTTCCCCACAATTGAAATGAAAATTTTCGTAAGACACGATTTGTTTCTCAGCACTTTGATATAGAGTCTAACAACTTTTTGCCAAAGTGTGACAAAACATGGGGACTGAGTACTTGTAAGTAATCAGTATACGGCTGACTGATTAATTGATCATCTTGTCATCTTGATTATGATATGAAAGTCTTGCATGTCTGGCTTGAGGGAAGCCTTATATGGGACCTGAATACTTCCTCAGAATGGTGATGAAATAAGACTATACCTATATGTCTCTTACATATTTCAACCAAGTTATTTTCATGCCCTTTGTTATACCTAAAACAGGAAACTGTAACCATTAGCCCATGGGCTAAAACTAGCCTGCCTCCTGGTTTTGTAAATAAAGTTTTATCAGAACACAGTGACACTCCTTCATTTATATATTGTCTTATGGCTGCTTTCACACTAAAATGGCAGAGTTGAGTAGTTGCAACAGAGACCATGTGACCCACAGAGCTGAAAATACTTATCGTCCAGCTCTTTATAGAAAATTCTTGTTGCACCCTGTCCTAGAGTATAGTCCCCCCATCAAGAATGGTACATGGAAAACCTAGATTAGCACAATGCTTCCTGACAATTCATATAGAAGACCGTTATTTCACCCCAAAAAAAAAAAAAAAAACATGAATCAGGTTTCAGTGAAGTGTCATAGCCTGTGCTAGTCACTGAGTCCATACGGTAACAAAAACAAAACAAAACAAGTACTTGATTCTTACCCTCATGGAGCTTATGGTCTAGGGTGGAATCACTGATATTGAGGCAGCGGTCAGCAAGAAGCTGTTCAGAGCACAATGGAGTTGTAAGGACACATCTACAGGCAGCTCGTTCCTTCTAATGAAAACACTGGTCTGCAGTTAAGTCCTGCCATGCTGTCCTGAAGGTGAAAGGGGAGAGAAGGGTGGGACAACACAGCCAGCACCGATTCTCCTTTCCTCTGAATTAAGTTAGTGGGTTGGTGGCAGGTAGGAGACACAAGTAAAGTATTTTGTTCGAGAATGGCAGAGTTTAAATTCAGGCACTAGCAGGAAGGTAGTTTTTCTAAAGTGTTCCCATGGCTGCTTTCAGTAAAGTCCTCATTAGCCTTGATGTGGGTTTCTTCTGATAATGCCCTTTACCCTGACTTGGAGAGACTGCAGCTTTTAAAGAGGCAGTTCAGTCCCCACTGTGGCTCAGTCCTTGGCCTAATTTAGGTAGTACAATAATTCTCTCCAACTGTGAATATGATGAGATAGTTTTTCTGTGATTTCTTGTTTGACAATTGGTGACCAAAACTTAGAAGCAAACCACCCAGCCTGGGAGTTTTTGGACTCTGCTGCAGCTAAGCTGGTGTCTTACTGATATTACAGGCTCTTATCAGGGCTGGTCCAGAAGCTAAACATTCCTGCTGCCCCCATACCTACCCGTTTTGAAAAATTACAGAGTTTAGAACTTGAAAGTTCTGATAAATAATCTGACTTAACCCCAATATTTGATTAAAAAAAAAAGAAAAAAAAAACAGAAAAAATGAGACCCTAAAAAGCTCAATGGTTTACATTTGACAAATGTCATTTAAGGGATGAAGAAACAGAATTTCAATGCAATGTGATTTATTAATGAGTGAAACTTGTTTAAAAGTTGAAGACATGAAGTATACCATTTTAAGGTATATGGAAGAGTACCTCCTAAGGTATGTATAATCTTTCCAGAACTTGATTCCATGTGGATCATGGCATTACAAACGACCTCTGAAATGCCATTTTTACCCAAACAGAAAGTTCTTTACCCATGGCCCTAGCCACCTGTCTGGGCTATCTCATTGAGAGTATACACTTGCTAAACTTTCACGCTGAATATCATTACTGAAGAAATACTGAAAATATCCATCCTGATGTCAGATCTATTCTGCAACCTTAACAACAGGATATTTGAGACTAAGCCATCCAAAGAATCATCTGTGCCCTTGAACATTAAGTATGCCTTTTACAAAGTAATGTAATGAGAATAGTGTATAGTCATTTGTACTTTTGCCCATCAAGAAATATTACTTTTGTGCATTCGTGTTCTTAGCCCACTTTTTGATGGGACTGTTTATTTTTTTCTTGCTAATTTGTTTGAGTTCATTGTAGATTATGGGTATTAGTCCTTAATCAGATGTATAGATTGTGAAGATTTTCTCCCACTCCTGGATTGTCTGTTTACTCTGCTGACTGTCCTTTTGCCATGCAAAAGTTCTTTAGTTTAATTAAGTCCTACCATTTGCCTTTGTTTTTATTGCATTTGCTTTTGGGTTCTTGGTCATGGAATCCAATGGCATTCACAGCAACCTGGATGGGATTGGAGACTATTATTCAAAGTGAAGTAACTCAGGAATGGAAAACCAAACATCATATGTTCTCATTCATAAGTCGGAGCTAAGCTATGAGGATGCAAAGGCATAAGAATGACACAATGAACTTTAAGGACTCAGGGGGAAAGGGAGGAAAAGGGGTAAGGAATAAGATACTACAAATTTGGTTCAGTGTACACTGCTCAGGTGATAGGTGCACTAAAATCTCACAAATCACCACTAAAGAACTTACTCATGGCCAGGTGCGGTGGCTCACGCATGCAATCCCAGAACTTTGGGAGGCTGAGGCAGGTGGATCACCTGAGGTTGGGAGTTCAAGATCAGCCTAACTAATATGGAGAAACCCTATCTCTACTAAAAAAACAATAAATTAGCCAGGTATGGTGGTGCATGCCTGTAATCCCAGCTACTCGGGAGGCTGAGGTAAGAGAATCACTTGAACCCAGAAGGTGGAGGTTGCAGTGAACAGAGATCACGCTATTGCACTCCAGCTTGGGCAATAAGAGCAAAACTCTATCTCGAAAAAAAAAAAGAAAAAAGAACTTGCTCACGTAACTGAATATTGCCTGTTTCCCAAAAACCTATGGAAATAAAAAAAACTTTTTTAAAAAGAAAAAAATGTATTACTTTCAATGGCAAAGCCATTGTTACTTTTGTACTGACCTAATATCTACAAAAATAATGACACAGTTCATTCATTCAATCACTAGCCAATTCAATCACTAGTAAATTCTTGTATGATGTGTTTTGCCACATCTCACCTTTAGAAGCAGGGATCTGGGAGACAGATGATTGATATATGGACGGTAGATGGATAGACAGACAGCATAAATAATAAAAGAGAAGGATAGGAAGAAAGGCAAGGAGAAAGAAGAAAAGTGATAAAAGGAAGAAGAGAGGCCAAATATTCTGGATTTATTTAGAAGTCTCCACCTTGGAGAACATAAATATAAATTTTGTCACAATATTCATTAATTTTATGCTGGTTTATCTCTCTGTTTTTTAAATGACAGCTTGGATTTCATATATTTCCAATTATATGCGTTACTGAATTTGTTTGGTTCAGCTGAAAACTTTGGTCCCCTCTTTGTTCCAAGGTCCTTCTTAACCCCCAGTGCAAAGTAGGCATATGAGGTGGGAAAGAGGACGCGACTGCCCACAGTGAACCTCCACTTCATCACGTAAGCCATTTCCCACTGTTATTAGAAACAGGCACTGAGAGAAAATAAGATAAACAGGGTGGGCTTGTATAATTGGCCATATGATGGTGCAGGATGGTGCTGGCTTTCCGCTGGTTAAATCGATTTCCATTCCTGCCGGGGGCCCAAGGTGGTGGGCTCCATATGGATGCAAATGTTTTCTGAGGGTAATGTTCAGTATCACTCCAGCTTCCCCTTTCTTTGAGGATATTTTCAGAGAAGAGACACTACATCTTCTGTCAGCCCTGCCAAAAGCATGTACCCATAAATCTCAGGGTTTGAGGAAACGACTGCTTTCCTGAGCATCCATCCAGACTGTCCTATGGCCCAGGGCCCTTCTGTAACCTCCTTACTCCTTCATGTGGGCTCTCTGGAAACACTAGAGTCCTCTGCTCCATCCTTTGAGAGCCACAGGGACTGGGCACAGTACGCCACCAGCTTGTTAAACCCTTCCCTATGAGCTATTCAGTACAGGTTCCTTCAGAGCCATTTAGGTAAGAAGTAGATATCAGCATCCATCTCTATGCTCATGTTTACCACCAAACTTTAAGGATGCTCATGTCAGGCTCTATAAAGAGTCTTCTCACCCTCCTCACCACCTAACTGTTGCTGAGGCAGCACTGAGTAGGTGTAGACCATTTATGCAGAAGCAATTGGTTAGAGGTTGTTACCAATCTCTGTATCTGGCAGCACCCTAAACATTCATGCATAATTCTCTTGGAAACCCCTTCATTTGCTTTAGAGAAGAGAGAGGTCTTTCACTACAGGACTGTAGTCCATATACGGGCAATGCCTCCTCACTTCTACACAACCTCACATCCCCCAACTCTCAGTCTTCTCCTTGTGTGGCCTGGGGAGGGGTGGCAGGGTGGTGGTTAATGGTACTGGACACACTCCTCACCTCTCAGTAAGTCCTACAAAGGAAGTATCTGGCAGATTGGCAGGGCAGTATTAGTGCCTTTTGTTTGGGGCTTTGTGCCTACAGTACAGGAGGTCCCCAAGACCACCCTCAGACTCAGTAATTCACTAGCAGGACTCACAGAACTCAGCAAAGCTGTTGTACTCTTGGTTTTGGTTTATTACAGCAAAAAGATACAGAGTGACATTAGAAACAGGAAAAGGCCTAGAGAGCAGGGTCCAGGAGAGTTCTAGGCACAAGCTTTCAGTTGTTCTCTTCTACTGAGCTGTGCTGACAGTGCTTACTTCTCCTAGCAATGATGTGTGGCAATATACACAGATTACTGTCAACCAAGGAAGTTTACCAAAGCCTTGAAGTCCAAAGTTTTTATTGGGCATTGGTCAAGCAGGCACAGCTGACCTGAGTCTCCAGCCCTTGCAGAGGTAAACCTGGTATCCTCATTCCCAGCATAAATCACATTGCTAGCATAGACTATCTGGCATGACAAATGGCCCTGTAAATCAAGACACTCTTACCAGGCAGGATATCCCAAGAGCTTAGAGTTTACCTCTAAGGAGCTGGAGGCAACGGCCAAATCTTTTGTTGGGCAAGGTTAATCCCTTACTGAACAATGCCTTAGCTGCAATCGTCAAATAGGAAAAGTTCCACTTGAAAGCCTGCTACATACAGAATTCTTACTGTAAGACTTTGGAGAAATTTGAAGACCTGCCATTGGAGAGTGTTACTTGGGATATTAAGAGGTTCTGCAGCCAAGCTAAGCCACTTTCTGTTTTAGATTCAAGTTTATCCTTACAATTTCATTGAAGGTAAAAAAGATTCTGTAGCTACTAAATAGTTCAAACTTGTGTATAAAAACTGGTACAAAAGGAAAAACTTGGAGGGGTTACAATGCTGAGTGCTGCAGAAGCAAGAGTAGCAGAACACAGATGTCATGATACCATGCCTGTACTTTCACCACCACAGGACATTTGAGTGCTTCCTCATGAGAAAGATGGCACCTATCACATGCCTAGCATTGAACGTGCTGATAAATGGATGGAAAGGCAAGCATAAGGTGTGGTTTTTGCATTTGGGTGCTCTTGGAGTTACAAACCACAGAACAGACAATTAGAATAAGAAAGCACATATTTTAGTCAAATATTCCAAAAGAAGTTAGAGAAAATAAACATCACCAAGGCATTGGTTTCTCAGAAGCAGTGATACTGTTGTCTGCTGCTCATATTCCTCTGCAAAGAGGCATAGCCATAAACTCTTTTCTCCACCATTCAAAACTGACAAATACACACAATCTTCTAATAACTAATTCTTTTTCTATTTAAGTCTCACTTAACCTCACATCTATTGTTAAGCTTTTTTATATTTTTCCTGTTCTTATACTTTCTGCATGTCTCTTACAATTTTATGACAATATTTATTATTACTTATTATTC